CTAATAATCATTGTTCTTTGTTAAATATTATCATCATGTGAGAGAAATACTATTATATAGATAAATGTTGAGCTTTTATTGATAATGACATAATATGTCAACTAATATCTAAATAATATATAACATGTCACAACAGTGACAATATAGAGATAAAATTTTCAAAATCTGATTGGTAACTTTGTAGAATTTGTTATAAAAAACAAAGTTACTGATCAGATTTTGAAAATTTTATCTCTATATTGAGTAATAGCATTTTGAAATTGAAATATATTATTAATTTAAAAGTTTTTACATTATATAAATTGCAAAAATTTGATCATGTATTCCAAAGATATAAACATTCAATAATATAATATAAATTCAATCAAACAATTAAATTTGTGATAATATCAATAAACTATTAAAAAAATAACAAATACTCACATTCAGGAAACTTAATATAAAATCAAATTGAAAATTAGTTATATAAGTTATTAGTTATTAGAAATGAATTTAACATCATTTTTATTTTACTAATACTATAAATTTTTCCAGATTATAATTAGTTTCAATTTGATTTTAACCAGTATTTCTGAACCAAATTACAAAACAAAATATTTATTTAATAGTAATAGTATTATGCAAAATTCAATTAATTATTGAATATATTATAAATATAAATTATATATATTATATATATTAAGTTAATTTGAATAATTATAAGATTAACCAAATTAACTTAATCCTTAATTCACTATCTTGTTTTAGTATTTCTCTAATAATAAAATATTGATTTTAATATATTTAAATTTAATAAAATTGTTTAATTATTATAAAAAGATATTATAATTAAACTTTAATTAAGTGATATAATAATTTAACAATATTAATATACAAATAATTTTTTATAATATCTTATACTTTTCAATTAATTATATTTCAATTTGAAAGATTTACAATAATTAATAATTTGAAGGATTTCAAGATAATAAGATTTTTATATTACTAATAATAATATAATAATTTATGCTGGATCAATTACAAATTAAAAGTACACTTTAGTCATGTGATTATGGATCATTAAAATTTGGCGCATCTATAAATCTACAAGATCAAGGCTGGTATCACGTGAAAGCGGACATCGATATATAAATCGCGTATTTCTTTACTTTCTAGGATCATCAGTATTTGGATCTTGTAAAAATTCGCTCGCAATTGTCTTTTTTGAATAGCAAATATTAACAATAATAGACTAGTATTATAAATAAAGTGGATTGCAATATTATAGTTCGAAAACTTCAAAAATGCCATGCACAATTTCATTATTTAAACAAGACTATAGTGATCTTGAGTTTGATTTTGAAGAATATGTAAGAGGCACGTTGGGTCTTGGTCTTGCCAAAGGTAATTAAATAAAATAAGGAGCAAAAGAATCAAGAAATCAAAAATCTGTACTTTCTTTCTTTACAAAAACCAACATTGAATTAATCAATCCATTAACAACTCTTTAGAAGACAAAATCTGTCAGGATTTCCTACGCGGAACATGCCAACGCGGAACCCTATGTAAATACAAACACAGCACAAAACGCGCGAAAGCGGTCGTGTGCAAACATTGGTTGCGCGGACTATGTAAGATGCAAGATCAATGCGAGTTTTTGCACGAATTTAATGAGAGTAAAATGCCCGAGTGTTGGTTCTACGTGAAATTTGGCGAGTGCACGAATGAGGATTGTTTGTATTTGCATGTTGATCCCGAGAGCAAAATAAAAGAGTGTCCGTATTATGCAAGAGGATTTTGCAAGTACGGTGAGTCTGATGATTTTTAAATATATAATTTATTGGAGATCGAATGATGTTGAATTTATTGAATTTCTTTTTTTGTTATTGAGGACCGAATTGTAATGCGAAACACGTGCGAAAGACTGTGTGCCAATTGTACTTGACTGGATTCTGTCCATATGGAGCTGAATGTCCTAATGGACAGTAAGTGGATGCTTACTTTTCCTCTGCTCAATTCTTTCAAATATTTACGGGATCTGAAAATAAAATGTGTATTTATCTATTTATAGTCCAAAATATGACTCGATAGGTTCACATCAACGTGATTATGATCGATCCTCCACAGAAGAATCAATCTCAAAAAGTCGTGTGTCTAAAGAAGTGAGTAAAGAAGTAAAAAAAAAACTTCTTTTACAGAGAACGAAGGCGATAAATTATTGCATCATTATTTTTTCTAATATTATGATTTATAATTACTCAAATTTGCAATTCAAAATAAATTATTCAAACATCCCAGCGTCCTCCTTTAAAACAACCACCACCAACTTACCGACCACTATCAGAAGTTACTTGTTACAAGGTACGTGATTTATATAAATATACTTTAACAATAAAGAATATATTCTTTATTAAAAATATTTACCAATTTTAAATTATTCAATTCATATCAGTGCAATCAAAAAGGACACTTTGCAAACAGATGCCCAAAACCTCGTGTTAGTAGTAGTAACGGAAGCACTGCTGCAGGGAATGGAGGAGGTGGATATTACACGCGCAAAAGAGACAGCAGTCTAATTAATAACAATAATATCAGCAATATCTTTAAAGGTGATTATGGTGAAAAGGGTGAAGATTTCGGCGGTGGCAATACACCAAATCCCAACAACTATTATAATCAAAATAATGGCGAAAATGATTCTCTGACAACTTCACTAAATAATAATATCAGTAACAATAATTATAATTACTTTTATGGATCCCCGTGTTTTAATGAGTTTGAAAATGAGGTGTTACGATGTAGTTAGTAATTTAAACAAGAGAATGTTATTTTTAGCAAACTAGTATTTTCATAAATTTGTATAAGCAATATGTAATTTGATCAGAATTCAATAAAATATCGATTAATTTTATTTCATTTTGGAGACTTCAATAAAAAGATATCAATAATTATAACAAAAAAAAAAACAAAAAATTGATTATAAAAAGCCTAATATAATTCATTTTCATGAAAAAAAAATACTAATATTTTCAATCATCTGTCAAAACAATAATTAACGGAACGACAATTCAATAGAACCAGTAACAGTCTCCAACTTTGCCTGCGAAAGTTTCTCGCCTCCTTGATCACCTTTAAATCCAACCTTTCCGGTTCGTGAATTTCTGTTGAAATGAAGATCGTGTCCTTGGACACTGGTATAACCGAGAAGTGTGGTCGCAGAGAAATCGCCCTCGAATGTATCGTCGATGACAGCAACGATACCTCCGTTTATAGCTTTAGCGTAGAAATCGACAGTTTGAGTTTCTTTGATGTCACGCTTTGGTATGTGTGTATGGGATATTAAAATGGATTGTTAGTAAAACGCGTGTAAAAGCTTTTGATGGGAAGATTATTTTGCATGAATAACGTACCACGCGAATATCAATTTGACCGTTGATTGATCTTGCTACAATAGATACATCTTCGGCCCAGGGGTCAAGGCTAGCTTTTACTTGGAGAACACCGTTAGCGTTTTTAACCTTTTATAATATTATTAGGATATATAAATAGAGGGATTAGATATTAAAACAAGAAATATTGAAAAATAACATCCTATTTTACCTCTAAGCTTTCGCTGACTACCAAATCACCACTAATATGACCATTGACAGTTCCGATATCGGCTGATTCAACTTTGACATCCTATAAATTTTATACATGACAATAAGTAAAAAAACATTTGCAAAGCTCTCGAATTCCTTAATATAACAGTTTACATCAACAGTAACGTGGCCATTTGTGGTCTTGAGATTCAAGTATGCAAAATCGACATCATTCAGATCCTCGGCCGTAACCCAAGCATTTGGTACATCGACAGCTAACGATCTGAAGTGATTGACACGCGAGGGCAAAGTAATCACGGTGTCGATACGAACACATTTTCGTGTTGGGCGAGGACCATCAAATGTTGGAGACTTTATTGTATTATATTAATGATTAGAAAAAAGCGATTAGAACAACTCAGAAACTGTATATCAATTTTGTAATTAATCATTTGGAATTTAGAATGGTCATACCTTAACTTCGATAGAGAAGTCTTCGTCATTGGTTTGAGTATTGACCTTAACTTCAGATTGAAGAGAGTCTTCCGAAAGATAAATACGATTGGTCACATTGATGTAATCATGCGCGAGAGGATCTTGGCGAATGATAACACTTCCTTTCTATTAAATTTTTATTATACCACGAATGATAATTTTAGTCATATGATGGATCCAAATATATAAACACTCGAAATAAAGAAAGGTGTTTACCGAAGATGCTCCCTTAACACTATAAAGCAGTCCAGAAATTTCTTCGGGATCAAGCAAAATTTCTTTTGCTCCTTGCCATTTGATTCTCGCGACACAATCAGGATTTCCCCAGGTTAGTGATTGTGCATCTTCTTGTTTATTATTTTTGATGGATCCAGAGTAGTCAATGAAATCGTTCTCTGGGACAATGTCATCGGAAATAGGCATGTAGAAGAAGGTGTCGTCGAGGTTATCACCTGGCATGTTGGGATACTGGATGAATTGGATTTTTATTTCAATATTTGAATCGCATTTTCTCTAATCACATCCCTCTCTCGATGATATTCTTTATAAAATACATATATAAGCCAAGCCCATAATTGATAGTAATATATACGTACATTATAAAAAAGTCCACCCAACCCAATCATAAAAAGACGACCAATAAGAGCAAATGCAAGAAGCCCGAACACCGCTTTTCTGAATGCGCATCGAAAAGCACGACGAGAAGTTTCTAATGCGGGATTGCAACAATTACTGTTACTGTTATTGTTGCAACAATTATTGAAGACTGGAACAGAAGAATTGGCCAATCCGTCCACTATATTAAAATACAGGTTAATTATTGTTAAACGCGTGTTTATGCATTATTTCACAACAATAGAAAAGGATCTTTTTAAGGGTGTTTTTTTATTTATAAAATTACACACATGCTTTCTTCTCAGGTTCCATGGGAATAGCTGTAAATTTTTTATCAGACATGATAGCAACAACTGTCTTATGAGAACAAAAATCGAGTGATCTTTTCGTTTTTAATAAAGAACGTAAAAGTTCGAAATCTTTACGCAGCAAATTTACAAGAGAAATAACCTTTGAAAGTGATTTAAGGGGACAAGTATGGAGCTTTATACATCGATATACTTAATATTTACATGTATACGTATAAACAGATAAATTCTATGATTGTATCAATATACATTACGCCAACAAGGGCGCAAGAATATGCGATATCTCTATTTATCTGGTGGTACGCTGTATTTTTCTCGAAATTTTCTCACAAGCGTCACATGCATGAGTACGGATAACAGAAAACATGTTTGCTTTGATAACAATATTTATGGAATACGTACATGTATTCTTTATCGCTATCGTTACCAATTTGGAAATAACAAAAATAGCATTGGAAATTCTACTGTAATAAAAAAATTCTACTGTAATAAAAATTAATGTTAAAGAATATTTTTAAGATTAGGGTTAGTGTTACGGTTAGGGATGGATATAAAATCACCTTCCCGACATTTTTCATTCAGCTTTTGGCATTTGTTTCCTGTATTATTTTTTACATTTCTCGCATTTTTTGTGTCGGTTTGTTTTGCCGGGTTTTTCAAAAATTTATGCATCCTATCATAACCAAATCGGGAGGGGATAGTGAACTCACGTCTAAAATATAAATTCATCCTTTAACATTAAATTATTATGTCAGACATCCCAACAATATCCAATGCACTTGTCATCAACTCGTACGGACCACCATCAGTCCTTCAATGGACCCAAATTACAACACCAACCATACAATCACCACACGACGTTTTGATACGTGTACACGCCACATCCGTGAACCCAGTAGAATGGAAAACCCGAAACGGTGACTTCCGTCTAATATTTCCTTTGATGGCTGGATTTCCACATATCCTCGGAAAAGATTTCTCTGGTACAATTGTAGCAGTTGGATCAAAAATCTCGAAGTTTCAGGTCAATGATGAAGTTTTTGGAACTGTGATGGATGGCGCGTATTCAGAATATTTGATTGTTAATGTTGAGACAGATGGAATTGAAAAGAAACCACGAGGATTGACGCATTCTGAGGCTGCGGGGGTTTCGATTGCCGCGTTGAGTGCATGGGGTTCGTTGGTTGATCTGGGTGGGTTACCAGTTGTTGGTGTAAATGACGGTAAGAATGCTGAGGGTTCAGAATCTGGTAAACCTAAAGTATTAATAATTGGCGCATCCGGTGGTGTTGGAACTTTTGCCGTCCAATTGGCAAAGGTAGCAAACAATGCTCACGTGACAGCAATTTGCTCTGCAAAAAATGTCGCTTTAGTAACCAGTCTCGGAGCCGATTCAGTAATCGATTACACAACTCAAGACTACGCGTCAGTTCTTGCCTTAAATCATCACGAAACATTTGACTTAGTTGTCGATTTAGTAGGTCAAGAAGGCACCTACTCTAAGACAAGTCCTCTCTTAAAGAAAACGGGTATATATGTCGAAGCAGAAAATGAGTATTGTCAAGAAAACGTAAGCGCAACAGATTTACTGAAATTCGGGTTCTCGTCAATGATTGGAAGGAATTTCTTTGGCCCGAGACGATCAAAAAATTTGTTTGGTGTTAATCAAAAGGATTTGCGCAAAATTATGCCGTACTTGGAAAGTGGAAAGGTGAAGACTGTCGTTTGGAGGGAGGTGCCGTTGAGTGACGGTGCGAAAGCTCACGAGTTGAGTGAGACGAAACGAGCAGTTGGTAAAATTATTATGACGGTATTATAATGAACTTATAGTTGGCTTGAAAACTTTCACGTTTGGCCTATCCACCCTGTTAATAAAACCCACTAATTTCAAAAAAAAAATATATAATTATACTATTTATTAATACTAATTATGTATTAAATTCAAAAAAATACTATTTTTTAAATCGTATTGAATTATGTATTAGATTATTACGTTAAATTATTAAATTATATAAAACTATTTAAAAATATTTAAAAATGGAACTACCGAGATTGTCGATGAATGTTTTTTTTTTGATTCTTCAGATAAAATTACAGATTTCTAAATAAAATAACTCCCAAATCGTTCTTTTAATAGAAACACCGATTTCTAATATAATAAGTAAAAGTTCGAATGTATGATGAGGTAGGTGTACCTTAATGTGAAAAAATACGTTACGATAATACAATTCTGTAACACTGATACTAAGTTCAATTAATACTAATCCAAATTTGAAAAGATGAGAAAGCAATAAAAGTTTGAGTCCAGCCTTGAATGGATAGCTGGTCTCGTCGAGACTAACGCGTACGATTTTGCCATAAATGTTTATGGCACTCAACATGTGTCCTTGGGTAACTAAAAACAGGTGCACTCCACATTTTTCTCTAAATGCATAAATTCAATCAATCATTATGAATTTAAAAATAAATCGATTCTTTTCTCCTAGCCTTTTACACATGAATATTTTATTATATTGGATATAGTCAATATGTAATCTTTATGATACATCTCGAGTGAAATTACAAAATCACATAATTCTCATGAATTTTCAACTTGAACTTTAATCAGACTTTTTAGCAGCTTGTGAATTACCAGGAACATTCGTAGAATTATTTTCACCTGAAAGTGTATTAGAAGAGTTTAAATACGTCGCTTTTGCATCTCTAACGGTCTTATCTCCAAGAATCCTCGCTGGGCCAGCAATTATCTTTTTTTGTTGATATTGATATTGATATTGTGGTAAATTAAGCCGCCGATTAACAACAAAAAAGGAAATATATAATGTGAAATATTGGTAGGTAGTAACTCACCCAAGCGACGAAGCCAAGTAGAGCATCAACAACGACATTGTTTGTTGGTGCAACCCCTATTGTCATTGATAAGAGATAATTTCGAATTAAAAATAATAATAATTTGGCAAAAAAGTAAGTTCAGTTAATTTTACCTCTCGTGCCAGCCCTTATTATATTTCCAACTAAATCAGATGTGATAAAATATTGACCTCTTCGCAGACCTAAAATAAAATTGACAATTGAATGAGAGAATCAGATACGCATCTTGAAATATTTTTACAAACCTTTGCATAACGCCTCTGCGCATAGCTCTGGTGTTGATCCGTCATCTTCACCTTCAATTTGTTTCGTAACTAGTGGCTTTGTTTTATTCTAATCATAGTTAAGAAAAAGAATTAAAGATTTAAAGTCGGTGATTTCTATTATTACAGTGTAAAAAAGTGATGCAAACCTCGTTCTCTAAACCGGGTGATAGAATAGTCCCGGGAAAATAACAATGAACGCTGATATCATAGAGTAAAAGTTCATTACGAAGACAATCAGCCAAACCTTTGATTGCAAATAAAAAAACACGTGAATAATTAATCGACCAATGTGAATAATTAAAAATTAAAAAACAACGTGTTTTACAAAAAGACAATTACCCCGTATAGCATGTTTAGTCGGTGCATATTGACTGTATCCAAAAAATCCTATAAATCCCAGAACAGAACTAACAAGGACAATTTTACCTTTGACAGCTTGTTGTGCCATACGCCGGGCAGCTTCCTATGAACGAAATTCGTTTAAATACAATACCATAAAAAAAAACTCCAGCCTTAAAAAATGGTTACATGAACAGTATACAATGTTCCGAAATAATTAAGTTTCATTCCAGCTTCGAATTCGGCAATAGGTTGATCAATAAATATGCCAGGTATAGAAGCACCTTATTATTACCAAAGAACAATAGTTAACATAAATATATTAGAACATAAAAAAACGATTCGGCATAACAAAAAAGCTTACCAGCACAATTAAATATAAAATCTGGAACCTTGCCACCATGTTTCGTTGCTGCTTCATCTAAGGCACGAACAGCTTCTGCATGAATGGTCACATCTGCAGAGATTGCATTGACTATTTGACTTTCGTTGACGCGCGCAACCTTTGTAAAAAATCAATCGAATTATCTTTTTGAATATAATGAATCGAAGAAAACTTGAGATACGAAAAATCTTACTTTAATCTCTTCTAAAGCTGTATCTAATTTTATTCTATCGCGTGCAACTATAGTAACACTCGCACCTTTTTTTGCCAGAAAAACAGCAAGTGCTTTTCCAAGTCCAGTGCTACCACCTGTTATATAAGCATGCTATTAAACCAGAAAAAAGACTTTAAACAATTTGTTATTTTACAAGCAATTACAAATTGGCACATATGATCTAAAGAAGCTAAACTTTTACTACGGAGAAACCTAATACAAACTTTTCCTGCTGGCTTAAATTTATCCTTTCCAAACAGTTTCATCGTTACGGAATTAGTAACAATAAAGCCGACGATTAACAATGAGAAAGCGACAACTATTGAAGCAATAGGATGTAACTTTCCAGCGAGATGCGAATACGGGGTTAATTGTAAAATGTAGTCAATTAGCGACCACATTTTTATTTTCAATATTTCGGGAAGTTTAAAAAAAGCGCGTGCCACAAATTCTGTAGAACGTTGATTATGTATGGATGCAGTATTATTTCCAGGATTCACGATACATTATGTACATTATCGCATAAATAAATAAATAAATAAATAAATAGATAAATAAATAATTAATTTAAAGTATTGTCGATCCCTTTCAACTCTAAAGAGATATTAATTATCATGCAAATCAAATAAACCGAAATAAGATAGTATCCCAACCCTCTGGACATACGATAGTCGTTTCGTGGCAAGTATAATAGAGCTGAAATCAGGGCAATGGATAAACCGAATGAAGAAACGAATAGAGTGGGTGAAACTGTGATTAGATAGGGTTCTCGTGTTTTTAGTGTCATGTATGATCCACTTATGCCAATTCCTAAAAGAATATCTGTGCAAATAATATTTTATAAATTAATGAGAAATTTGCCAATATACATAAGATAAGCAACTTACTTAACATTGGACCACCGAAGCAAGCACTCATTGCCATCATGGGAAATCCCATTTTTGCAATAGTAATATTAGCGACAAAGTCACCCAAGCTATTTCCCTATAAAAATAGAATGTCGATGAAAAAGATAAAGCACAAAACCTATAAAGCACACGTCAAGAAAATAAATATTTACCATTGCAAAAATGGTCAAGCCTAAGATAGCATCGCTCATACCCATGATCAATCCGAGTGCCTGATCAAGAAATAAATTACCAGACGTAGATGTATAAAAAGTTAATGATACTGTTTTAGTTGGTCAAATAAAGATTTTAAAGTGTTTACCTGAAGCAATCCTACGACCTCATTAGCGACAAGAAAAATCCAAACCATTGCAATAGCAAATCCAAGGAAACAAAGGGACGAATAAAAAGGTGGCGGCTCATCATCCTTTGTACACAAGTAGCATAGTATTGAAGATATTATACCAATCAAAAACGCATATATTATATATTTCCCAACCAAATCAATTCCAACTAGTAAAAAAAGATATTATATCAGTGAATTGAATCAAAGAAAGCATTACTAACAAGTAAGCTTACCAGTTAATACTGTAACGGTAAAAATTGGTGCCAGTAAAAACTGAGTCGAAGTTAACCATCGATTCCAATTTGAGTTTTTGAGCTCTTCTTCAGACTTATCTTCAATTATAAGATCTTGACCCTCAAGTATAATAGTGGGAGGCTGAATATGAGGAGGAATTTCGAATTCATTAGTTCCTTGCTTTTTCTTTTCATTATCTTGCAATGTAATCTCATCAGGCTCAACGACAGGTAAGGTAAGAGCGAGCAAAAAGATAGCAGGACATGCTAATAATGCAATGAGCTTGGCAAATGCGGACTTGTTAGAGAATTCTGTAAGAGATGGAAATATTATTGGTTGGATGTTGTCCCAAATATTTGATAAACGAGAAGATAATTTAATTGGAGCTGACTGATAAGTGAAAGAAGGTTCAGGAGATGGAGGAGGTGGTGAAGGTGTTACATCTGATGTAGGAGAAGGTGGAGGAGAACCTTCAAGAAAGAATTCTGAAGGTTGTGGAGTTCCTGAAGAAGGAGATTGCTTAGGTGACATAGACACTGGTGAGTGTGTAAATAATATTGGTGAGCTGGCCGTACTGGGAGAAAGCGACGGACTTCTTCCTTGATCGGGAGTTGGAGGAATCAACATTAAACGTGGAGTGCTGGGTTTTTGTCTAACAATTTCTGAAGGCACCTTTAGATGTTGATCATCATCATTGTTGTTAACTAGATCAGATGTGCTATGCGGTCGTCTCAGATTTGGAAGTTGACTAGATGACTCTGAAGCTCCAAAGCTAATCCCTGAACGCCTTCGACCTCCATCGTTTTTAGCAGTTGGCAACGTCCGACTTCTTATTATGGAATTAGGTCTGGATCCTCTAGTATTATAAAAGTCATAGGTATGACTACGCCCAAATGGACCAAGTGCTCTAGCATTACTATCTAATTTCAGAGATCTCACTACATCCCGAAACTAAGAAAAAATTCTAATAGAATTAGAAAACATAATAAATAAAAGACTGGTTAATTCTACAACTAAGAAATGAGCATACCTCGATGGCCCCAAATAGTGATGGTCGCATCCCACGATGTAAAGGTCTTCCTATGGTTCGTGATGACGAGTAACTATGATGATGGAAGCCCAACGATTGATCAACAACATCATTTATATTTATGGATGGTATGTAGTATTCATTTGATTCTGGATTATCCGTGTGATGAGCAAATGAAGTCATTGATATTGGACTCGTTGACCTGTCATAAGTCTCATCGCGTTCTTCCTCTTGTAGTAAAAAATCAGTCTCACTATATGTGTCGTAGCCATACGCATCTTGGTCATCTGCAAATCAAAAAAAAAAGAAATCGTAAAAAAAGCAGACTCCAATGATACGTAGCTATTAACTTCTTTACCATATTCCTCGTCATGTTGTGCTCCAAAATAGTCTGTTGACCCTTCTTCCAATACATTTGTATATTCTTCTCTTGCTTTCTGTTCAAGCCAGATTCTCTTCTTTTTACGTTTCACCAACCAAGCACCCACCACCACTACACTAACATATATACAATAATAAATAACCAGTATCGCGCTCTCCCAAAAATGAATCTCTCCATCCGTAATAATAAAAATAACGACAGCAATTGCTCCGATGAAGAACAACACATCACGGATAAACGGGACCCTTGTAACTCGAAAAGGTGTTATTACGGCCATAGAGCCGGCAACTACTGAAGAAATAAAGCTCGCGGCGCCGATAAGTTCTCCTATGGCTAGAGAGCCCGAGTGATTTGTAACAGCACTAAAAGTACTAAAGAGATCTGGGGATCCATTCCCAAATGCTAAAAAGGTCACGCCAGCCTTTTTTTTCAAACAACAATATAGTATCATAATATTATCAATATTGTTGGTAACAATTAGATGAAAAAAACAAGTGGTAATGCTCGATAAATTACCATACTTTCCGATAAATGAAGTTTTGCAGCAATTGTACTTAAATTAGGACAAAAGAAATCAGAAGCAGCAACGCCAACAAACCCGAAAAGGAAAAGTAACCAAGTAAACTATAAATAAACAAAAAGATAAGCTTACGAAAAAACAATGTAATGAAGGAGTAAATTATATCCTACTTACGAGTACCAAAAGTATTGGAAATTTCAATGTACTTAGACCGCAAAAATAGAAATCGAGATAATTTAGCAATCCGGACGTATAATATTGACAATGCTCGCGTACGAACGCGCATCGATCCTCGTGTTCATATATATCTTTGCATTGCTAAAGTCATCCAGAAATGAAGATAATAAGAATTTAAAGTTTCTTATGAAAATAAATAGCATTCATAATGCGATAAAACTTTGATAAATGCGCGTAAAAATACAAAAATAAAGACATTTTAATCAATTTTTCGACAAAGAATGCGAAATATTCGAAAATCGTTTTTTTTTAGTTTTACCCAATAACTTGAAGGATTTGCTAATATACATAACTACAGTTAAACTCCTCTGTAGTCACACTCATTTATAATCACATTCCTTCATAGTCACCATTTAATTAACTATTAAGAAAAAATACTTTTATAGTCACACCAATAAGAGGTAACTATAGAAGGGTGTGACTGTACCCACAAAAAATGCAAAATACCTCAGTAAACAGATTTGTATCTTTTTGAAAAATAGTCGAGTTATCCGAGTAAATTTCCGAATTCGAAATCGACCTTTTAGTTAAAGGGAACCAAGAGAATGCATTACTACTAGACAAGACTGAAAAACGTTCGCGTTTGCCAGTGCTACTAATGCGTCCCCTCCAAATCAAATTGACCGTGTTGGAGAAAAGGAATAAACATATGATTAAAAAATAAGTCCTACTAGACATCGATCGCATCGCTTATCAAAAAGTATCCTAACTGATGTTAATGATGGATTAAGGGATTTATATCTCATTATTGTTGGAAGCTCGCTCCATATTAGGTATTGGGCGCCAGTACAATATAATGATCAACATGTATAAGTGTGATTTCTCCAACTACTTTCATCAAGTAAAATCTGGAACCATTTTTTCAAGTTCTGTCATTAACGATAAAGATATTGGAAGCTACTATATACTGTATCAAATCAATATATACCGATACCATATGGACGGATTTGATTCCACAACCGAATTAACTCCAACAAAACATTTACCAAAATTGGGTCAAATCTAAATCAATCAAATCAGCCCATATTAAGTTTTATATGCTTACCAAAATAGTGATTTTAGCGAGTTCAGACTTTGGCTGAAAAATTCAATTGTTAATTTCTATTAAATGTCTTCTGAAGATTCTACCAAAGAGATCCGTCATCGAGGAGGAATTTCTTCGCCCGAATTTGTCGACGTTACTACCTCTGGGGTGTCTTCTTCCACTTCAAGTACTCTCCGCAGAAGAATTCGTAAACCCCGTACACGAAGACTTTTTTCTTCAATAAAATGGATGACATTAGCTTGGTTTATTGTATATTGGTTTAACGTATATGACGGGGTTACAGAGATTCTGGGGTGGGAAGAGTCATATTCAAGGTAACGATTACTTATATTTGTCACTTGGCATTCTTTTGGAAGAACAATTTGAATAGTAACAGGATATTGAACAGAAATTTCTCAAAAAACTAGAATCCTCTTTTATTTATCCTTATCCTCATTATCGATAACTTTTGGGATATTCTGTCACTTGCAATTCATTCGACCAATATTTCTTGGTGAAGCACCGCCGAATTATGGGGCACTGGAACAGGACGCAAATTTGCGAAAATATATACCAATTGCTACGTTTTTAATGTTATTTGGATTTGTTGGATTATGCGCGAGTGTATGGGAAATTTGGCATTTTTGGTCCCCTTTAATTGTTGGTGGATTAGCTATGGGGTTCGTTTCTTTGTTGAATATAATTTAAGAAATGTTGGGTCATTCTATATCGATATGTTAGGTTGAAAGATTACTTGAAGCAGAAGCGATTGTTGTTCATCTTCGTTAAATATATAGGTAACCAGGGTGACATGTTTGTTTAATGCAGACGATATAAATAAATTAATGGATTCTTTTAATTATCATCATCGCTGAATGAATAACAAAGCAATAAATTTTCATTTCATTTAAACGATGAAAAGAATGACTTTTGAATATGTTGCAGATCGATATGTTTCAGATCGATATGTTTGATCATCTAATACACAAAAATACGTATTTAGATTATCTTCCTAATAGAGAAACTAAAGTGCTAATTATCTTTGAGTTAAACAAATTTTCTCCGTAAATACATTGCCCAAAAGAATTATTTGTTCCTCGTTAACGTTAGAATTTATTTGTTTTTGCGGTGCATGATTAGATCTCTGATAATGCAGCAATAATGAAAGAAACGGTCGTCAGTATTCTATCAATTGCAAAACTGGACTGGTAAACCAACACCGCAAAGTGTTTTTTAATATAAAAATGGCATCTTTGCAAAGAATACCGACAATGTACGTAGTGCCTATTCTCATTAATCGATAAACTCAAAATAGTTGATATTTACTTGTGCGAAAACCGATTTTCAACTATCGCTGTGTTTCTTTTCTAAATCACTATGAGCTGTGCATTAGTATTGGAATGGTGGAGTGATAACGATTTATTTTTTAATTCGTTGTTTATGTTTGTCTTAAAATCATTTTTGCTGGGTATAATGCTACTTGGGGCTTGACCTCTTTTTTTTTCAGATAAGATTAGGGTTGGTAAAAGTCCCAAGGAAATTACTAATATAAAAGATAATTTTTTACAAGCTATTAATCAAACTTGTTTAAAAGAGTTTGTTAATTCAAATTGCTTATAAGAAATAATCAATAAATTGTTTCTAAAGCTTAGAATTTTTAAAAATTTAGGACATGATCCAAGACTACTAAAATTAGAAACAGTTTATTGGTTATTTCTTATAAGTGACTTTAATTAACAAATTATTTTAAACAAGCTTAATTAATTAATAGCTTATAAAAATATTATCTGACTTTTACCAATCCTAGATAAGATGGCATCAACCAACATATCAAATTAGAATTAGATAATATACACGAATATTCAAATAATTATGATTTGGTCACAATCTACAGTCGAAGAAAAAACTGCAAAATGGGATTTTCTGAGCTAATGCAGAATTAAAATGGCTAGATCTCTTTGAAACGTCTACTTGTATACTTCATAACTCATCAAACTCATTGCATTTAATAGAGTTAATTCTTTGGTCGAAGAACTTCTTTGTCTAGATTTAGCAACTTGGAGATTGATCAACGAAGCTGTATCAAATCTGTTACTGTAGAGCACTATCTCGGTATTATTCAAAAACATTGAACTGATACCATTCACGGTTTCAGCGATTTTATTGGTGGCGAATGAGGGTACTTTACTCGGAGAATACTTTAGAATTTTCAAGCAACTCGAGTCCTTTTGTATACGCAGTAATTGGTATATATGTGGACCTTAATCTTGTGGGCATCTATTAAAATATATGTAAAATTATGGCTGCCAAACATACATTTTACATAGATGCCGAAGTAAATACTGCATCTATAATTTGGAATAAGTTGCCATTTGATCTCGTAAAACAAGTTATAATGACTTTAAGTGTTCACAATCTGTTATTTCGGAATTACTCTTTCTCTGATCTCTTACAAATTAGCAAAATAATAAAAATTTGTTGTGCAATTTCAGTAAGCTTTAAATAAATGATATTTTGAGATATTTAAATAATTTGGCCAAATATAAACTTTAAAAAAATCAATTTTATGAGAATCTTTAAAATCGCTTATTTTTTTTGTAAATATTTTTTTTTTAAGTAAAAAACTAAAAATTTTATTATACTATTATATAAAATGGTAATAAGCAAGTTTTTAATGAAGTAAATAAATTTCGACTTCTATTGAGATATTTTTGCTTTACGGCGAAGAGTAAGATTATGCCGGCACAAAAAACGTTTGAGCCAATGTGAGGATGCTTTGAAATTGCTTGCAATAAGTTTTTTTGTCACATCATCCGTGTCTCCAGCAGTTTCGGCAACGATTTTTGACATTTCGATCTTAAAACTATTGTAGGTAACAGCCAAAGCAGCCTCACGCATTTGAAGAACCCAAGCGAAAGTTGTTCTTCTTCAGCATGGAAAAATTCTTTTCTACTGGTGCCAACACGACGAGACTTACAGTTTTTGAGGTCGTCAAGCTGGGTTTTTAAGTTCCTCACCCATCTGCTAACCAGACTTTTGTCAATACTGAAGTGGACAGCAGCTTTGGTATTATTTGAAGCAAGCACAAAACGAACAACAGCAGCCTTTTCCTCGACAGAATATGACTGTCTTTCCCTCTTTTTTACACGTGTCGTGCTAGATACATATCACGCAAGTCGGTTTTCTTCATTTCCATGATTTTTGATTGGAGAAAAAAACGGTATCACACAAAGCCCTGAAATAAGCAACACCCCGATTTTAATTCTCAAAGGGGTGCATTTTCAGGTTGCTTATTTTCGGACATATACGGTACATGCACCTTTCACAGTGCAAGTAGGAACTGGAAATTCAAAAAATTTCATATATTCAAGTATCCATCAAATCAAGTGAAAATTATTTTAATCCTTAAAAACCCGTTTTTTGCTTGCTTGCTTTTTTTTTAGTTAACGTTAAAAGTAATTAATTATATGACGTTTGAAAAGTATTTGTTGCTTAAATAAGTACAAGTTAACTCGCGTTAATGTTAAGCATTCAAAATCAAAGTTAGACAGATTCCAGGAATATAAGAAAATTCAATTGTAAATTTATCTCAGTTATATATTACAGTGTTAACAACTGGATTGGAATATTTCCATAAAAAACTAGTCTAAGTCTTTATCTCAGTAATAACAAATGCTTTTTTCTCTTTTATTAACAAAATTTCAAATGAAAAATACACACAGAAAAAAATATTAACTTCCAATGACCATAAAAACATCTTTTATAAGAATGTAAAAAAACATAGGTAATAATCCAAAGAATCTTCATATTTGGTCCAGGAAGTAACATCGGAAGCGAAAAAGATATTTTTATCACAATAGCTAACCAACTAAGTCAAGCATATTATCGGGCAAATTTAAATGATGATATTATGCCCGGATTACTTGGTAATCGAATAATTGATTAATTATGATAAGTCAGTGTTGGCCAATCCGTGACCCGACCCGGAACGCACATTTCGGGTCGGGTCGGATTGGGGTCAGCCTAAAAAGCGTTATTTTTCGTTCAATATTAATTGTAATTAAACGAAAATTTGTGGGCATATACACAATTACATTCCGAGCAACTCTACTTAGACACAAAATACAAGTGTATTAGTAAAAATAAAAGTTATTAACGAAAAACTATTTTACGATTTTCGGATCAAACCCGATCCGAATCCGACCCGACC